ACAGTGGCATTTAATAGCTTCACTCCATGAATATGCTAAAATCCATTGAATTGCATACTTTAAGGAGGTGAGTGTGTATGGTATATACAATGATAGCTCATTAACGTTGCTGTTTCTTTAAGGGGTGCTGAAGTCGGTATTCCTGTTAGAACAAAGTCATGGTTATAACCTATCTATCCATAAATTCAAAATTCCAGGGATAAGAATGATAAGACACTTGTTTCAGGCTTTTCTGAGAGTGAGTCTGAAGCAGTCCTATAATTATGGATTCATTTATTCAACAAAAACTGGTGGGCTGCTTATTAATATGAGTGCTGGAAGCTGGTAGTAAGCAACCACCCCCCTCATCCTCAAAGGACGTACAGTCCAGTGGGCCGAGTCCTGGAACAGGACGGAGCACGGTTTGGAATATTTGGACTTTTCCGAGGACTTATCTTTTGCGTTCCTTCTCGAATTGTTCAGAAATCCTGTGAGAACGGTCACAACAGCCCCAAGTAAAGTCACTTCACAATTTGTTTTCTCTGCACTAATGCTGCCCCTGTGGCCAGCAACGTGTCTTGAATTTTGTTCAACACTTTGTGAACTTTGCTGAGACAACACTACCTCTTGCTTTGTGACCGAAATACTGATAGCTGATTTCAGGGTTCTGAAGTTATTTCCATCATCAAAGAAGACTGCACCATAATACAGGAATATTTGTGCTACCATTTGGAATCCATCACTTCAAGATAGCAAATCAACCTAGCCCTAATTCCAAACAATTGCATTGTTTACATGTGGCCCTGTTTCATGAAAAGTCTTTACTAATCCCACCACATATATAATTCTACGATACATGATATTTACTTGTCTGCTGTCCACATGTGTCCTTTGGGCACTCACACCGGATACTGTCACAAATGTGTACTGTGTCATTCTATGGTCTATTATTGGCTTATGCGGATAACACACTACAAAAAAAGAAAGTAGCTGGAATGGGTCAGGTGGTAGACAGCAATTGAGGTAGTTGTTGGAGGAGATATTTAAATAACCATCATGACCATCATTGTGTCTTTTTAAAAAGTCTGCCACGGGAAGTCTTGAAGTCAAAATCGGTGTCCCTAGGTAGCACAGATAGTGAAGTGTTCAGCCGCTACTGCAAAAGGCCACCAGAAAAAGGCTGGGAGTCTACTTCTAAATTACCAGCCACTGGAAACCCCGTGGAGTGTAGTTCTTCTCTGATACACATGGGTACCATGACTCAGAGTCAACTCAATGGGAACTGAGTTATTTTGATTTTGTTGAAAAATAAGAATTCCATATTTAGATTCAGCTGCTTCATGAAACTCTACAATGTACTAGGTCCTGGTAAAAGATGATTTTATATACATTTCACAATCAGTTTTTGGCAAAGGTATCAGGAACCATTTTACTGGTGCTGAAACTGAGGGCTAAAGAGGCTGGGGGATGTCCCAATGTTTTGCAGTCTTCCATCCCCTGTTTTCTCTTTGGCCTGACGGTGCTGGCTCCACCGTGAGCATTTCACTGAGCTGGAGGTGGACAGACGTCTGTCTGCAAGCACTCTGCACTGGCCGGGAGTTGCTGGTTCTCTAAGGTCCAGTAAGCTTTGGCCCTGCTTCCCTGAACTTTGAGTTTCAGTGGCAGGGCAACCCCCAGAGGCGGGCAGATGCTGATGCCACGGGATCAGCAGCTGGGGACAGTTTGGGGTGGGTGCTCGCTCACTCCTCGGACACGCCTGGTGAGGCTGCTGTTCACGTGAAACTACGCCTGGTGAGAGCAGAGGCGTCCCGTCTGCTGCAGCAAGTCATTTCTCCCGAGTAACGTCCAAGGTTATTAACCAGCAGGAGTGAGAGAGTGGAAGGACCCATCTGTGAAGCCTGAGCTCACCAAAATGCAAGCAGCTCTACTCTAGCTCACTGACTCAGAGACAGACGGGCCCCTGAGGTCCTGTCCTGTGTGGTCACCAGCCCTCTCTGAACCGAAAATCTTCCCTCCAACAGGTACTGGAATTAGAGATCTTGTATGAAAAGAAGCAGGCACATGGGCTGAAACAGATGACCAGTATTATTGCTGTGGCTATACCAACAACATCAACAACCAACCCCTCGCTCTATTAGCATGAGCAATATAACTTCTGCCAATTAGCTCACCATCAGATGGAATGTCATAGTTCTGACCAGCCCAGCCCTGGCTTCCAACACCTGTCACTCCCCCATTTTGCATTCTTTGGCTACCACCCACCTATTCCTCCTCTCTTTTCCTGGAGTAAGACGTGACCTTCACATGTCCCCAGGTCACACCTTGGTCTAGTGAATCAAGAATGAGGTGGAGATACAGAAACCAGGAAGTATGACATTGGGTGGTAAGTGGAGTCAACGGAGTTAGTGGGACTCTTTTCTGATCCAGCCCCTCTCTCATCCCAGAGTCAGACCTCGGCCTACACTTCCCAAACAGCATGAGTTTCAAACACTTCACTTTCCTTTAATGATCACATTCAATGGCTAACACTTTTCCGCTTTTAGAAACTCCTTGGGCCTAGATGCCTTTTAGACACCCGAGTCCTCTCAAACATAACAACCACTCTGAGGATGGCGCAGGACCGGGTTGTGGTTCGTTCTGTTGGACTCTGGGTTCTATGCGTCAGAACTGACTCCATGGCCCCTTACAACAGCACTTCTCTCTCCTTTTCACTTCTTCACCCACAGATTCTAGCGTGGCTGAATCATGCTACTTATTTCCCGTTTTGTGAACTATTCCAAGAACCACATTCTTAGGGAGTCGATGCTTCGCTGAACTCGTGGCCCAACTCAGAGCAACAAAGCGTACAAGAAAGCGTAAATTCCCTAGAACACGCTTCCCTAGAGACCTATGGGGTGGCTATGAGTGGAATCAACTTGATGGCAGTGGGTTGAGTTGGAACACTCATGGTCACGCCATTCTTCATAAGATTTCGCCATAACTTGCAATCTTCATCTCAGGAAGCACACAGTAGATCTGTTGATCCTCTTTTAGATCAGATGAGAGTACATTTGCTTTCTACCATTTTGGAGAGCACGGGGACAGTTCTAGTCTGTCCTGTAGACTCACTATGGGATGGAACGGACTCCACAGCAGTGAAGTGTGGGAGTGAGATTCGATTTTGGTTTCACGTGGCCCCAGTCTTCAAGATGAACCCATGCCCAGATACGGTCACAGCTGGGGAGCTGATGCCTCAGCGCAATCACTTTGAGGTTTTTTTTTTTTTTTTTTATCACTTTGAGTTTTATACGCGTTTGTACCAACTTTGAAGACAAACATGTACGTCCATGAGAGACTATGTTTAGAGTAAAAGACTGTGTTCTTGCATTAAAAACCTCAAGGAGTTTAGGCGTTTGGAGATAGGGGAGTGGGTAGGAGAAATACGAGTAAGAACAATTTTTTAAACAGTTTTATTAGCACTTCATCCACATGTCATACAATTCAAGAATTCAATCATATCAAGAAGAGTTGTACAATTGTCATCAGATTCAGTTCTAGAACATTTTCTTCCTTGTAGTCATTGTCATTCACGTCATTATTATTATCGTTCTAATTATGAAGAGAATATACAAAACAGAACATTTCAATTCCACAACTTCTACTTGTATAATTCAGTGTCAGTGATTATACTCTTTGTGTTGCACAACCATTATTGATATCCTTTTCCAAATGATTTTATCATCACTGACATAAACTCCATGCCCCTGTGCAACAACTCTTCCCCTTCACTTATGGTCGCCATTGCTCTACTTCCACCTCCCCTGTCCCCATGGCTTTCCCAAGACAGTATTCACATATCACATACATCTATGGTTAAATTGCTTTTAAAATTAGTTGTAAAATCACAATCAGATCTAGTGCTCCATCCCGCCCCCCACATTCATTGTTTGTTTCCCACATCCCTCACCCTCCATGCCGCCCACCTTCCGTCCCCACATCAGCTATAAACCATTGCATCAGTTATTATCTCTATGCATCTACTCCTGTGCTTCACAAACTAGGAAACCCAGCAGAAACAATAGAAAACCAAAGCAAAATAAAGTTTTATGGCTATAATAATAATACAAAGATAAAAATACAAATAACGAGTAAGAACAAAAGCCAGGGAAGAAATTTTTGTCATGGAACAACCAAGAAATCCTTGAGCCTAGAGAAAACTCAGCTTGGGTCAAGTGGGAGATCAACTGACCAAGTATCAAGTTCGATCCAGCATAATCAAGTTTACAATGCTCTCAGTCTGATACTAAGGCTGTTCAAGACACTGATCTGTGGCTAGAGGGGATCACCAGAGGTCTTAATCTGAGTAGATACTCTGCAGATGGGTTTTGGGCTCCCACTGTCCTCCATAGCCTTCTACAAATTGGGGGTTCACAAGTAAAGCTCTGATACTTTTCCCTTCATCATCCTTGGGTTTTGTTATTGTCGTTTTTTGGATCTCACAAGCTGGTGTGCTTCTTCCATGTGGGCTTAGATGACTTCTCACTTAGAAGGCTGCTTGTTTGAACACAGCCCTTTAAGACCCGAAAGAACAATTCTTGAATGCCTACGGGATGCAAACGTTCTGCACACTCATTTACCTCTGTGAAGTTAAGATGAAGGCTCAGAGAAGTCAAAATGCCAGGGTCAAGATTCTCATGGTGAAGGAGCGCGATCTCTTCCCACCATCCCTGGATGAACCCAGAGCTCAGTCATTCACCAGTGGTGTGACCTAAGGGAGCCCCTCGAGTCTTTCTGTCCCTCCGTCCCCCCATCTGTACAATGCGGGGCTGCACTGAAGACATGTGTTGTAGCTTTATCATTCTGTAAGGAAAGAAGTGTTGCAAACCTGATTAAGGGATTGGCTGTCTGTGAACCAATCAGAGGTATTGGATAAACACCTCCCTACCAGGCCAAGATAGGGAGGGGAAGACAACAGTTGGCGGGGGTGGGGGGGTGAGGGGGATTGGAAGGGGGGGGGGGTAAGCGAGAACACTATAAAAGCTGTGCGAGACCGACGAGTTGTCCTATTTGGCAGCTGCTGCCTCAGCGACCGACATCTAAGAAGACTCTTGTCTCCCAAACGGTAAGTCAACGGGCTTCCTTTGTTCACCTGACTGCACCTGCACCAAGGGAAAAGCATGCTTGCGTGTGTGTTCAGAAAAGAAAAATTGATGGTCACTTTTGATCCGAGATGACTATTTTCCTTGCTAAGAGTGAACGTGGCTCTTTGAAGAGTAGCAAAATGCTTCAGTGTGACCTCGAGTTGGCAGTGTTAGGAGTATGGTGGCAGTTTTGAGTTATTTAGTGAGAGAGACAGACAGACACACACACACACACACACACACAGCTTTCTTCGAGTTTGCAGATTCCTGATCCTTCCCACTTTCTCTTCACATAGCTGTTAACTGCTGTCCATTTGGCTCCCAACTCCTGCCAGCCCCCCAACCCCACCCCAGCGGAACAAAACGCGCTGGGTCCTGCACCATGCCCATGATTGGGGTTTCACTGGCCGATTTTCCAAAGTAGATGGCCAGGCCTTTCTTTCTGATCTCTGTTAGTCTGAATGTTCCGTGGAAACATGTGCAGCGTGAGAGCAGCATGCAAGCCTCCAGGGACAGCACACTGTGTGCTCTTGAGCTCCCTCGTTAGAAGGTGAAAGCGCTACTGCAGAGCTGCGGCTGCTCCACTCTGCCGGGGTGACTATGCTGACGACGGACTCACCTGCCTCACCCCGATGTCCCCTTCTTCAGTCTCTCCCCGCAATTGCTGGCACTGAGCACCACAGTCTCTTCACCACAGAAACGAGCCCTTGTTTTGCTCGTTGCCTCCACCCACTGCTCACACAAGAAAAGGAAACGGTGTGGAAACTTCAGAGCACCCCCCCCCACTTGATTATGCATTTTCAAGCGGCCCCTCCCCACAATTGTTAGCTACATTCTGTAATGCGTGTTGGGCTGCGAACCACACAGGTGGCCGATGGAAACCACCCGAGGAGGCTGTCTACTCCCTTAGGTAGTTACCGTCTTAGAGACCCATGGGGGGAGTTCTACCATGAGGGTCCTTATGAGTCGGAATCAACTCAATGGCAGTGAGTTTAGTTTGGTTTTGTAACATTTCTTGTCAACACTAAACAGTTGGAAGACCCTACGGTTTAAGATAGGAGATGCTGGAAGCTGCTAGGGCTTTTGGCTTGCTCATTAAGAAGTCAAACATTACCAAAAATACATAAAAGCAAAGTGAGGCCCACTCCACTCCCTTCTGTTCCCCATGCATCACCCTGAGTGGGATTGGAGGGGCAGGGGGGAGTGTTCCTCTGCTTATATAGACACAAAAACAATTAGCATATATACACATGATTTTTGTGTGTGTGTGTGTGCGCGCGTGTGTGTGTGTGTGTGATTCAATTGAGTTTTATGAGAATTAGAAGAAGTTTCAGGTTTATACAGGCACCCGCAGGGCCCCTCACCCCGTGCAGCCTCCCTAGAAGCTGCTTGGAAAGTCACGTGGTCCTAGTTTGTTTTATTTTTAAAGATACTGTATATACACACTTTTCTGAACATGTCATTTCCCCACCGTCCTGACAAAATAATACGTGAACAAATTCCCATGACATGTTTTTATAACAGCCCAAGTCCTTAGGAAGCGAGGCTTAGGGACACAGAAATCATTTTCTGTCTTTCCCCCCTCCCTGATTCCCAGCGTGAGTATTGACCTGGATCCAGGTTTATCATTAACAGAGGGGCAGCAGGGGGCTGAGGTGGCACAGACCTTTAGTCTTCTGTAGAAGTTTAACTTCCTGTGAACAATATTAGTTCAACTTGACCTTTCCTCTGTCATTCTGGTTCAGTCAGCACAAGCAGACTGAGAGAAATCAGTTAGCAATGAGTAGAAACACGGAGGTCTCCAGAGGTCCCTTAGTATTATTATTTAATTGTTAATTCTGATGTTTAGTTTACAAACAGGAAAATGATAATACCTTGACTTCCATGGGGCTTTAAGAGGCATTTTCATGTTCATCACGCCATTCAACAAATACATCACGTGACTCAACTCTGATGAGCCGAGCGTTCAGACTTGTTCGACTTGCCAAGGAGACATTCAGAGTGACTAGTGCACCACTTCACCCGCAGGAGAGTCAGAGTCAGTGATGCTGAGATCTGTCCAAGATCCCAGCCAGGAGCAGGCAAAGCTACAGCAAGAGCTCAGGTCTGACTTGTCTGCCGGCAGACAATGTGATGTCAGATACGGATGAATAGGTAATGGCAGAGTTGTGGGGGTAAAAAGCCACCACCTGTGGTGCTCTGGGGTGCCAGCAAGGACATTAAGAGTCATCCAAATGCTGCTTCCCTTTGCCAAGCTCACCCTTTCCTTGAATAGAGAGGAGGACTGTCCTTGATCCCACACTGTGATTTCTTCACTGTATGTCCTTGGAAAAATTATTTACTTATTAACAAAAGTTTTTATTGTAAATTAGGTGGGAGGTACATTTCAGATCATCAACTTATATTCACAGATCGAACTACTAGTCGCACCCCGAACAGCCCACCCACTCCTTCATTGTTCTTCTCTCTCGTGTGGACTACTGCCTTTCATTTTAATCAAGTTAACACCTGTTCACAATCCAGACCACAGTGTCATGTTCACTCCCGCCTTGGCCCTCCCTCCTTGACAGTCTTCCAAATCCTGTTCCCTTTGCTGCCAAAGTCTTTGGTTTTTTTTTTCCTCTTACAATAGTGGTCTCACATCATATTTTGGAGAAATAATTTAAACTCTAACATTGTCTTTCCTTGTCTGTGAAGCAGCAGGAGGAAATCAAGCCCAGTGGCTTCTGGAATGATTGTGAGGAAAATGTGACACAGGGCAGGTAAAGAAATGATCAGAGTTCCGGACACTAAATGTTAATTTGTGGTGATTGTTAGTGAGCTATTTTGTCCTTTTCTTTCATTGAGGAAATGGCTTCATTGCTTGGTAATTGTCAACTCCTTTGTACAAACACCTAAACAGAGAGAGAAAATTTGCACCTTGGCCTGAGAGGTCAGCACCTCAAGCTGGTTTTTCATGAGCATAAGCAGAAAGTCAGGGACAAAGGTGAAAGTCCCCACCTGTAGTTAACCCAAGCTCACTGCCATCGAGCTGATTTTCAGGGTCTCCAAGGCTGTAAGTATTTACGGGAGCAGATAGCCTCATCTTTCTCCCTCCGAGCTGCTGGTGGCTTTGAACCCCCAACCTTGAGGTTAGCAGTGCAATGCTTACCCCACAGTGCCACCAGGGGTCTTGCCTATAATATTAGTAACAAATACTTAAATCAGGACAATACTACTGCTTGTAGATGGATTGTAGGGGCCCTGGAAGATCACCTTCTCTAGAGATTGCTGCCCACCACCCTTCCCTAAGACACGGATGACAACACCGTGGTGCTGTTCTTGGATTTTGGCAATGACACGGCCATCAGTTACACCTCCTGACTTAGTTTAGTGACCATCACCTTCTATATCACAGGACAGGGAACCGTGCCTGCCTTAAAAGGATTCAGAAAAAGGAGAGAAAAGGATTTGTCATGAGAGCTGGGCTCTGCCTTATCCTAGATGGGTCTTTGGGCATTTCAGTTAACACCTCTAAGTCTTAGTTTATTCACTAATGAATGAAGATAACCCTGTCCCGATCACATCATCAAGTGGATCAAATGAGAGCTGGAGAGGCCTGGCTCTAGAGAGTAGGATGTAGCCACGGGCATGCATCCTGCATGAGTGCATGGGTGGAATGGGGAAAGGAGGAGGCCATAGGATTGGATATGAGCCTACTCAAGGTAATCTTCACTCCCAACCTTGTTTGTCTTAGGTCAACCTATGAAAAAGTCACTTTCCAACACCGAAGAAGGAAGCCCTGTAACCCCGTATATTCAATACTAACCCAAAGCGATCAGCACACTAGGGGCAATGATCTCACTCAGAGATGCCCCCGTGGAGGAGACTGCTTGGGCCAGGAGGCGTTGAGGCAGAATCCCATCCTTGCCAAAGTAGCAGAACTGAGAATTACTGGTGTGGAGATCACTGTATTAATTTCCGCATTCCCAGAGGCACTGAGGGACAAGTCCTCCTGCGTGAGCCCCATGGGGTCTCATTGGGTTGAATATTTTAAAAAAAAGGAACCCCACACTCCATCCTTGCTAGCCCAGAGCTGATGAAAGGTAACTTTGGGGCCTAGTGTGAGTTCCTCCTCTCAAGCATGGTGCATGGAAAGTGATCTGGGACTACGGAGTACCACAGCAAGTGGGGGAGAATGACAGAGGTCTGAGTCTTACTGTCCCTGCCTTAAAACATCCAGGTGCCCCAACAGGCTAGACTGGAAAACACAAGTTTTTCTTGCTTGGTATATTTTAATTTGTTCTTCGTCAGTGGATTGATGCTGTTGCTGTTT